ATTAAGACCAAGGTTTCCTCTCCCACCCTCCCTTTCTCCCTCCCCCTTCTTCCTTTCCTTCCTTCTTTCCTTCTTCTCTCTCTCTTTCTTTCTGCCCATCATGTCCAGAAACCTCAACATGTCAGAGTCTCAATATTGAACACATCCAGGGAGGCAGACCCATGCTAACTACACTCACAAAAAATACAATTATAACTAAAATGTCTTTGTATTGACAAAACAACCGAAACTGTCACAATGAGCGCCAGGCTCCTGTGGTTGTAACCAGTTCATTCTTTCCCTGCAGGCAGAACACGTGGGAAACCAAATTATGAGCAGAAAGTGAGTACAAAATGAAAACAAAAGGAGATATCTATCCTTGAGGGATATTTTATCTAAGATATGAGAGGCCTGAAGAAGATGCCATATTTTTTTTCAAGCATGAAACAACTCTCTGGTTATATGTACATATGTACATCATTTATTGTATGACACATATGCACATACTTTTTCTTCCAGATTCAAACTGTGTCTCTCAGTCTTGTTTACTAACCTCCACCTCTTTGACAGGCATGCTCCCTAAGTTCACACTTTCTTTCACTGTAGTGAGATTGTGAAGGGAAGCAAAAGTCATAAGTAGATCAAAATATTTATTAATGATATGGCAACCTATAAATCAGTTACCTGTCCAAAAATCTTTTAAACATTAGACTCCCTTCCTTCACTCCCCATTGTGGTAACCATTTATGACTCAATGCAAATATTCAGTTCTATTGTGAAGTGAAATTGCAAATCTTGCAAAAGGTGTAAGGTTTCATGGTATCAATGAAAGTGAAGTTGGTAAAGGAACTGGCAAACGAGGGTCTACAGAGTTAAACAAGTGAAGGTAAAGTCAACAGGGATGATGACTATATTGATGTTTCAGAAGAAATGAAGAGAATACTGCAAATATCGAAAAATTAAGTGAGATCCCTGGGAAAACTGATGAAGCCCTCAAACATTTTTACAAAACAACCCTCTTTTTGATTATGGCCTAAAAGTCAAATATGAAATAAAGCATGTTGTGAGGTGATTCATATCTGTGAGAAAAAAATTAAGCCAGCAATAATCTTATTGATCTATTGTTTATTCATTCCATAATTAGCACATAGTTGTACTTACAACATAAACTTTGTTCCATAGAAGATAGGCTAAATATATTTTAATAACACTGAGTTTTATTTTCAAATAAAGTCCACTTTTCACCAATTTCTCTGAAATTTAGTCCCTGTTTTAAATAGAATTATTTTAAGGAGGCTTTACCAAAGCTAATCACCACACAATGTTAATAAGGACTTCCTGTACTAATGAATCAGACTCTTCTAGTAGAAACAGTCTGATGTCTTGGTTGTGTTTATTTACATACTACATTTTTACTATGTTGTTCATAAAATAGTTCCAGTTCCATTTCTTAGTTTTGCTGGGGGAGGCAGGTTAACATTATTTATTCTTAGCTGTTTCCTATGGGATAACTTCCAGAAGGTAATATTATTAAAAGTACTATTGGTGTCTTATAAGATAACATATGCAGAGGACACAGATTTTGGAGTCATCTTGGATTCAGACCTATATTTGAATCTTCTTCTGCCACTTAACAGACTTACAGTAATGGGCAAATTGTGTGCCCTCTCTGAACTTTATATGTTCATCTGTGAAAATCAAGCAATGACCACTCCATCACAAGATTGTGGTGAACACCAGATGAGAAGAACGTGTATGAAATGCCAGGTACAGAGAAGGCATTCAATATGTGGTACTTATAGACATGCTGTTTATTATTGGTTTGTTTGACTGCCAAAGTTCCCTTGTGATTTTAATTTGTTGATTATTTTATACATTCAGATTCTTTGCATGTGTTTTACAATGTGAACCTAGGGTCTCAAGGCCATAAAAGTAGATAAATATGACTGATATTAAAAATGTGACTTTAGGAGTGCCTCATTGCATAAATCTCTTAGAATGCACTCTAAAATATTCTATAAAGCTTTGAAAAAAGTCATAATGAGGTCTTCAGAATTTATATTATAAGATTTTGGTTGAGTTCTTCTGTATACTGGATGACTGATATTTACATGGAGAAAAAAACCTCAAAGGAAGCCCCCCTTCTCTATGCCCAAGCATTTTTATAAACAAATCTTGACTTGAAACAAGACACTTAAAGGCTTTCCCCACCCAGAGATCCCCATAAAGCACAGTCTTCAAAGTCAGATGTTTCTCCATTTGAACCCCTGCTCAGCTGCTTCCTAGCTGTGTGACCTTGACCAACTTGATATTTCTAAGCCTGGGTATTCTCATCCATAAAGCTGGAGATAACAAAAGTATCTCCTCACGTTGTCGTGAAGATGAAATGAGACATTGCATGTAAAAAACGTTTATGTGCTCATACAGCCTGGCACACTGGAAGTGTTTAGCTAACTATTATCTGTAAAATCTTCAAACTTAAAAGTTAAGAAGAATGTCATATTTTGTTAAAAATGGTAATGGTGTAATACAAAAAACAGAAATTAAGTTCACTTGAGTTCAAACATCAAATTACATGCTTTGGTTTTGCCTTGCCTTCTGCCTCTTGAGTTCCCTATGTCTAAGTTCCTTTCCTTCCCCTATTCACTGAAGAACTTGTTTTCTACCCCAGCGTTTTTCAGTGGCCTCTTCCCCATCCCCGCACACAATAGGAACATTACATTTGTAATACTTATAACAACTGGCAAGGGGCTTCTACCTCTCCTCTTTCTCTAGGACTCTGGTATGTCCCCCAGGGGTCTGATTAGTTCAGATATATTATTTATTTAGCTAAAACCAGGAGATAATGATAGTTAACATTTAGAATCTACCTAAAAGCCCCATATACAATGCTAGGTGAGTTACAAATGTTACTTTGATTCTTCATAACAACCGGGCAAGGCAGGTACCACCCTTTATATTTCTGAGATGGGTAATTAAAGCCCGTAAGCTCAAAGTCACATGGCTAGCAAGCAGCAGCACCAGTGACCATAAGGATCAAGTTAATGCCTTAATTGGGATGTGATGGCTCTAAGTGGTTTTCTACTTCTGGGAAAGGCCCATCTGGCCTTTCAAAGAGAGGCCTTCTCATACTGGTGCTAACATATATGTATGCTAGCATGGTATCACCCTATTCATGTATGACGTTTAACCTTTTTATGACATTTATCCCCTAGCACCACAAATGTGTAAGTATAATATTAAATGTAAGTATAATATTAAATTAATTAGATGTAAAAAACATCTTTGCACATCCCATGCACATAAACTCCAGCAAATATGCCGACTAAATTCCTACAATAGATGCTGTAGATCTGACCAACAGAATTCCAGACATCACAAAGTAAATAAACTAGACTTCCCTCAAATCCAGTAATTCCTGTTTGATTTTCCCTGGCAAGTACTGAATTTCGAATTGTGCTAATTCTATAAAGCAGAATTTCGTAAATATTATGATATGGAGTCGCACATATTCAGAAGGAGGGAAAGCTGAGAAATGCGACTAAGGTGGATGTGTTTCTTTCCTTACGTGCAGAATTAAGTTTCTCATCTGAGTAAGTACCGAATTCTGCAGTCATTCCAAAAATGTAAGCTCAGCTCACAGAGCATTTTGGGGAAACCTGAATGACACTAACCACATAAGGTCAAACAACTAGTCGACCCTAAAAAAAAAAAAAAAAAAAAAAGTGTGTCGTGCAAAGTTTTCATGTAAGAGATAAAAGTATCTCCATCTATATATTTCTATACGCCATTTCCAGAGTCCGATCCGGTTCCGCCTCTCACCACCGCAGCTCGGCAGACACTTCTCCCGAAGCCACTTCGGGGAGCTTCAGGTTTGAACACCATTCCCCCATCCCCAAGCTGCCGGCTCCTGCCAGCGCTCCGCGTCTACCCGGGCGTCTTCCATTCTCTGTGACTCACACTCCAGCGAAACGTCCCCTTTCGATAAACCCTAACTGGGAGACTGGCTCCCGGCGCGGAACCCCCGCGGGTCCCAGCGCAGGGCTGGCGGGCGGCGGCGCGCACCGTGGCGCTGGCGGGGCGGGGCGGGGCGGGGACTGCGCGCTGCGCGCGGGGGGCGGCGGGGGGCGGGCGCAGGTTGCTCACTCGACGCTGTTCCCCTTTGTTCGGTTCCATTGTGTGCCACTTCCTCCTCGGGCGCTTTTTCCAGCGTCCGGGTAGGTTGTGGGCAATTTGTGAGGGGGCTTTTGGTGCCTTTTGCTTTTTTTTTTTTCCCCTCGGTTTGTTTTATATTAAGTGAGGCCCTCCTTTGCACGCCTCCCCGCCCCCGGGCCCCGGAGGGAGGCAGAGTAGGAAGTGTCAGTGCCTCCTCCCCCACCCCCGACGGCGGCTCCGCCGGGCTTCCGCCCCGCTCCTCCTCCAGGAGGCATCCTAACCCCGCATTCTGGACTTTCACCTCCTGACCGGCCGCGTCACCGCCAGGCCGGCGACACGCGACCCCACCCCTCCGAGGGGCGCAGGCTCCGGGCGCCCAGGGCTCCGCCAGGCACCGGAGCGAGGGTCGGAGGCCGCCGCGTGGCCCCAGCCCGGCCGCCTCGGCGTCCCGGGAGCCGGCGTGAGTGTGGCCGCGGCCCTCCCCGTCCCTCGCGCTCGCGCTCGCGCTCGCGCTCCCCGGCCGCCGCGCAGCCGCCTCAGCCCCCTTATATAGCCCTCTAAAAATAGCTCGCCTCGCACCGCCTTGTAAGGCAGCAGGGAGATCCGCAGTCTGCCAATCCGCGCTCGCCGCCAGAGCCAAGCCCCGCCCCGAACCCCGCTCCGCGCTCCCCATTGGTCCTCAGTGACTTCATGAGCCCCCTGTTTACCTTACATGGTCACACGCGGCCTAATGGACGCCCTCCTTCGAGATCCCACGGCTGCGCGGAGCGCCGGGCGGAGGGAGGGGTAGTTTGGGGAGGGGGAAGAGCAGGAGGAGGAGAAAAGGAGGTGGGGAGAGACTACAAACTAGCAAGGATGGGGTGGGGGGTGGGGAGGGAAGGGAAGTGGGGGGAGAGAAGCGATCGCGAGAAAAAAAAAAAATGCAACCTCCCAAAATAAAGAGCAAAGATTGCATTAGGAGCGAACAGCGCTGCAGAAATAGATGGCAGCTTCGTGTCAGTGAGTTTGCATCCCCCTTCCTGATCCACGAGCTGGAGTGATTAGAGCCCTGGAAGGGAATTGTTACTCCCGTGGAGAAGTCCCCTTTTCCTGGCAGCCGTCTGCACTTGTACATGCTGGATGCCTCTCTCCATCCACCCCACTCACTCTCTCCTCTCTCACCTCCTCTCTTCCTCTCTCCTGCATTGATTTTTTTTTTCCTTTTTAGTTGACTGAAACAAAACAAAACAAAAGGGCCACTGGATGTCTGCCTTCTTGGGGGGTGAGCCAGACAGACTGACAAACAAACAGACCCAACTGTGTTCGGGGGAGGGTTTCTCCTCCCGTTTTGCCCGGCAGCAGCAGCATGGACGTGTTGGCTAGTTATAGTATATTCCAGGAGCTACAACTTGTCCACGACACCGGCTACTTCTCAGCTTTGCCATCCCTGGAGGAGACCTGGCAGCAGGTGAATGATTTAAATTACTTGTGTAAATCGTGTGGTGGCGGCGGAGACGCAGGGGCTGCGTTGGTGTGGGATTGGGGTTGAATTTTTTGTTTGTTTGCTTTATTTTTTTACCCCCTTTTTGGCTGTTTGTTGTCTAAAATGTTTTCGGAAACAGTCATCTGCGCTTACCTCTCCACCCACCCTCTAACCCCTTAGTGTGCTGAGCTGAGCAGCCGGTCTGAGCTGCCTGCGTTTCAGTCACCAACACACATCCTTGCGCACACGTTGTCGGGCTCACTGTCCCCAGCACAGACCTGCGTAACTTCTGGGGTTCGGAGGAACCGGGTGGGAAGCTGGTCTGGGGCTTTATGGGCCATGGATGACAGGATACTGCGTCCCTACATGCTGGAGCTCTACCTACTTGGTACCTTAAATCAGGTTCAGTTCTTTCAACTGGTGCTGACGACCGTCAGATGGGGGCCAGGAGGTAGGAGCATAGCGGAGTGTTTTCCCAGTAATTAGCGAGTGTCAATAAAAGATGGAAACTGATTTTGAGATGAGAAGTTGGGCAGAAGGGAGAGGAGCCCAGTGACAAAAGATACTCAAGGATATCTAGGAGGACGATGGGAAGATGTATCTCTCTAATGCTGACCATGCACTGTACATTTCCCCAGTGCAATGCCTCCATATGTATCCTTGTTTTCTCTTTTTTGTTTGGGGGGGTCCCTCCCTGGTTAGAAGCACAGCCTCTGACAAAGGGTGGTGTGTGCTTCCACGCCTCTGACTTTGTCTTAGAGGACTAGTTAAGAAACTCCTATGATGCTGAAGGGCGCCGATACCAAGTTGGCTAGGCATCCCACTGAGGGCAAAGTGGGTCTGGTGACAAGTTCCCTGGGCTTTGTGAAGTGGAATAAAGAAAGTGCTGGTCAGTGGAAAGTGCTAGATCTGCTGCGGAAACAGTCGTTTTCTCAGCAAGGATTAGGAAGTGCTGCTGAAGGGACACTCTGCAGGAAAGATGGTGGGTGGGGGGCGGGGGGGTATGGGTATTCTTTAAAAATACTCCAGGGTGCACCATGGAACGTCCAAGAAGACAGTCTGGATTTGCACACTGGAAGTGTGAACTCGCACAGTCCGTCTTGAAGAAACCAGCCTGTCCTTGGGGAGGACTGCGAGAGGCTTGGTGTGTGGCTGTTCGTGTAACTTCACCCAGTGACAGCAGCTTGTTAAGGCTAATGAACGGCTGAATTTCCTCCGCCAGGATCCGAAGCGGGATTTGCCAGCTTGAGGCGGGGATGTAACAGTTGCTGCTTTAGCGAGTGGGGTTTGGGTTTGCGTATAGGGAGCGGAGAGGCAAAGCTGATCCTCTGACTGTACCTTTGTTACTAGTTGCTCTTCTGCCCTTATTAGAGGCGGTGAGTTTTCCTCCAGGTGCTGGCCTCTGCTGTCTGTGCGGCCACAATCCATTGCTGTCCAAGGATGCCGGCAGAGACCCTCGACTTTGTCTCTGAGTGCCCACACAGTTCACGCATTCATAGCGCAAGGCGTTCCTTTCAGTGCATCCTTTCCCTCATCCCTAATGAGACTGTCTCAGGAAGGGTCTCGCTAGATCTTTTCCTCCTTTTATTTCACATGCTAAGGAAGCCAAAATGTTGCCAGAGTTTCATTTTCTGAAATAGCTTTCCTTTCACGTTGTCAGCCCACTGGTGTCAAACTCGTTGCATATTAACAACTGTCTAGACAGGTTAGGGTAGGGAATCTGTTGATTTAGTCAGCCTGCCCAAGGCAGCCCTTGTTTGTGACTAACTGTTAAGCAGAGTTGGAGGGAAAAAAAGTTGGCTTTATTTGTTACAGCGTTCCCTCCCGATGAATCACACAACTTTGTTTTGGTTCAAGTTTTCACAGTAGTAAAGCCTGCTTTTGGGGAAGGCCTCTCCAGAGGAAACCTGCTTTTCTAGATCTGGTTAGACCATCCAGGAGAGAGTCTGGATCTGTAAAGAAACATCACTGGTTTGATAATTAGGGGATGTATTAGATCTATTGTTTCCTCGGAAGCCTTCTGTGCTTTTCCTTCCCCCTCCTCTCCATACCCCTTTCTACTTGCCTCTGTCAAGGAACCTCTAGCTTAGTTTCTATCTGCAGGCCAAGGAATCTCATCCCCCCCACCCCACCCCCAATACACACACCTCCCTCCTTCTTGACTTAACCCTCCCCAACCAGCAACTACTCTTACCTTAAAACCCTTTGCCAAGCTATTTGAGAGGCATGCTCATAGTCCACACTGAAATATAACTTGTGGGGAAGCTCTGCTAAAGAAGATATCGCTCTAAGGAGCTCTCTGCCCTGGTCCCTGTAGTCACAACTGCTCTCTTGAAAGGTGACTGTGACTCTAAGTTCATGCTGATGACAAAACCTCCAACCTCCATCTCTTCCTTCCTCCCTCTCCTGCCCCCGCCCCTGCCGGCCTGTCCCCCTTGCTGCTTCTGAGTGTAAGGAGGGGGGATGGTTATATGCAACTGTCGGGGCCAAGTCAACCATCACATGGTGAAATTTTGAGACTCCTTTGCTCAAAATGGCTTAAGAAGATTGCTACAAAGAACCCCCAGGCAGGAGGAAGTTTCCTGATGCTCTGGGGTAATCAGATTTTAGAGGTCAGATGAGGAGCAATTATTAGATGTTCTCTGAAAGTGAACAGTGTACCTGGCCTTGAGGAGATGAGCGAAATACAGAGATTCCAATAATCTGATTTGGTTTGTAGAGAAAGAGTGGCTTGGATAATAAACCCAAGAACATCTGTGCATTTGAAAATTAAGGATGGACTCTTTGGGGATTTTATTTTAAACTGTGGCCTGGAATAATTGTCCTGCTTAACAGTCAGTGAGCTTGGGATGGTCCTCCTGTCATGGGGGTCGTCATTTTGACATTGGGCTTTCAGGCAGTGATGTCTTTAGCAACCTACAGCTCCAACTCTGAAAATCATTGCCGGTGTAATTTTAAAATCCAGATGCACATCCTACATTAACAGCTCTCCATTCCTGGGCTCTGACTGCATACTTAAGCACTCGGTCCAAGTAACATCATCTCTGCCTGTCATATAACTGTAAATTACACTGTGCTTATGTGGTCTGTTATTTTATGGAATTCAGCTGACGCACAACTCTTAAGGCTACCAGCCTTCGGTTCTTCGGAAACTTGCAGGAAATTTTCCAAGAGCCATCTGAGCAAAAGAGGGAAAAGTCAAAGGTAGGACAGAAGCCGGAGTAGCTTATAGGGTGCCACTTGATGATTCATGAGTTTTGTTGCCTGTAGAAGTCGTGATTTTTATGGACCCACTGCTGACTTGGAAAATAAAAAGTGTGATACTCTTGGTTATTTTTTCCCCAAGAAGCTACAAAGACTTGTAGAATTTGGATAGATTTTGTATACCTCGTCTGCTCTTTCACGAGTGCAGGTCAAGTAATGAAGTTCTGAGTCCTATTTGCACTTAGCTTTGCTCCATGCCATTGAGGAGCATGGTATGTTTACTTGAAAACTCTTATGGAATTATGCTTGTTGTTAATGCTGATTCATAATTGGCAGATGGGGTCAGTTTCAGGCCTCCTTTTTGCTCAGAGAAAATTTTCCACTGCTACTGGAAACAAATAAATAAATCATAGAACATTCCTCCCTCCTCCCCCACTCCCCCATTGTTTTAAACTAATGGCATACTTGGCTACTGTACGAACTAAAGTGTCCCCATAACACTGCAATTTCATCTTGGTTTCAGGCACTATGGAACGCTTTTTACAAGGGCCTTTGATATGAGGCATCTCTAGGGGACAACCTACAAAAATGGTTGCCTTCCAAGAACAGTCTCATGATACAACGGATGGGATTTGTTCTGTGAGCTACATTGCCTCTTCCTCTTTATGGTGATCTTGCCTTTGCACTGACTTCTACAGGCCTGAGCAGCCAGGTGCTGTCTCAGCCAGAAAGACAAAGCAAACTATAGGGTCCCTGCATCTGCAGGTTTGCCTCTGTCCCCAATTTGCAGAAAACCTTGTCATGAATTAGAATTTCTTGGCAACAGCACCACCCAGGGAAATTTGTAGACACAAAGGAGCCTTGCTAACCACACTGAAAGGATAAAATAAAATAAAATAGCTGGGCTTTTTTTTTTCTTTTTGTATGTTATTTGTGTGCTCTTCAGTTACCATAAATCTTTTTTTTTTATTTGAAATAGTGATGAAAAAAAAATATGAAAACTGTCCCGTTATTCAGATTTTCTATATAAGGATGCAACCACTAAATGTAGCTTTACAAATGAGAGCACATGTGAGTGCAATCAATCACACACTTAGCCTTTCTTTAATAGACTGGTTTCCATGTTCTTTTTAGTAGATACATCTTTGTGTAGATTTAGGGGCTCACAAACATTATCATTCGGTCTACCTGTTTGCAGTTCAGTATTTTAAAGTGAGTGGATGTTACACTGCAGATATTTTTTACTACATCTGTCTTTCGTGGGAGGATAAAGGAAGTGGTGACTTCTTTGTTCTCCGTGAAACTCCCCCCCCCCCCCCCCCCCCCCCCCCACCCCCAGGAGAATGTGATGTTGGGGTCCAGTCCATTTAAAGGGCAGAGCAGAAGATGCACGGTGACAGCCTCACCCTGAAATGATTTATGTCATGGGTATGTCAGAGACCTTCAGATGTGGGCTCTTCCTCTCTTCCAGCCCATTCTAAATATAAACGCCAGTGGGGGCTATTTGCCTCTCCGCTTAAATGGGAAGAGTTTAGCGAGGGTTCTAATGGGGCTTTTAGTAGCCCCCTTATAAATCTTCAGATTCTTCTCCCTTCAGAGGATTCCTGATTTTAACTTTCTGAGTACAAGAAGGCATTGCAGTCTTCTTGAATCACTCCGTGCCCATTGCGCAAAGAAGCGTACCGTTTACGGTGGCCAGCCCCCACTGGCTCGTGTTGTTGGAAGGGCTGATGCCCCCTATCTCTGCAGTTTGTAGTAGTATGCAAGGGTTTTCTTTTCTT